GCTGCCGCCGCGGCGCCCCGGCCCGCGGCGGAAGCCTCGCCCGCGGACGCTCCGCCCGAGGAAGCTCCGCTCGCGGAAGCCTCGCCCGCGGAAGCCCCGGCCGCAGCGCCCCCGCGCGCGGCGGCGCCCCCGCGCGCGAAGTCTTCGCCCGCGAAGGCCACGGCGTGCGCGGCCCCTCCCGGAGGCGGCAACGCGACGGTCGTGCGCTTCGGCGCCGTCGACGAGTCCGGCCTCCGCGTCGCCGGCCGGGGCTGGGGACGCGTGGTCGCGAAGTGGCGATGCGCGAAGCAGATGAAGATCGCGGTGCTCGGCGGGTCCATGACGTGCGGCGGCAACCTCGCGAAGCGGCACAACGACAAGACCAAGGCCTGGCCTGCGCGGCTGCTCGCGAAGCTGCGGTCGAGCCTCGGCGCGGGCGTCGCGCTCCACAACGCGTGCGAGCCGGCGTCGTCCCTGGGCTGGTGCGTGAGCCTCCTGTCGACGCACGTCCCGCCGGGCACGGACATCGTCGTCGTCGACTACTCGCAGAACGACAACCGGCCGACGATCGAGGACGCGCGCGAGGGCGGCGCGGCCGTCGACGAGCTCGTGAGCGTCGCGGCGGAGGCCTTCCTCGTGGCCCTCGCGAAGCTCGCGGGGAGCCGGCGCGAGCCGCCGCCCGCCGTGCTCTTCCTCACGACGATCCTGCCGCCCAAGTTCCACCAGCCGACGACGGCGCCGGCCTTAAAGGGCTGGCGCGCGCTCTGGGCCGACCCGGCGCGCGCCGCGGCCTACGGGGCCGTGCTCCAGGGACACGCGCGCATCTACGACCGCGTCGCCCGATTCCACGGCGCGTCGTCCTTCGCGCTGCAGGACCACGACGGCCTCTGGCCCGCCGGCGAGTTCCTCGGGAACGCGCGCCTCGACAGGCTCTGGCGCGCGCCGGCGGCCAAGGGCGGCGACGTCGACCACCACCCGGGCGTGCCCGCGCACGAGTTCGTCGCCGACGCGGCGCACGCGGCGGTCCTCGCGCTCGTCCGGCGCGCGGAGCGCGGCGACGGCGCCGTCGTCCCCGACTGGGCGCCGGCCGGCGGCACGCTGGCGAGCGCTAACGAGCTCGCGGAGCTCTCCGCCTGCTCTCTGGGCATGGCCGCGCACCTCGTCGCCGCCGACGTTGAGGCCGCGGCGAGCCCGGGCGCCCAGGTCCGCGCGGGCGGCGGCTGGTCGCTGCGTCGGGACCGCCCGGACAAGCCGCCGGGCTGGATCGTCAACGCGACCGCGACCGCGACCTCCGAGCTGTCCATCGTCGTCCCCTGCGGCCACACGGGCACCGTCGGCCTCGAGTACCTGCGGAGCTACGAGGGCATGGGCTCCGTGACCGCGACGTTCGCGACGATCGACGTCGAGAAGATCAAGTTCAACGAGCTCATCTGCGCGGGCGACGACGAGTGCGCGGCCTACGCCGCCGCGCCGGGGTCGAAGGTCCGGGTCTCGGCCGTCGACACCGTCGCGCTCAACGCGACGTGGCCCCAGGCCGAGTCCCTCGCCGTCGTGCGGCAGTTCAAGGTCGCGTGCCACAACCACGCCATGGTGTGGAACCCCGTCGTCGTCAAACTGCGGCCGGACCCGGGCGACCGGGGCAAGTTCAAGCTCCTCTCCATCTTCACGTGCTAAAACTTAGAAGATCCCGCAGTAGCGATCGAGGGCCGCGGTGAAGACGCGCTTGTTGTCCGCGGGCGAGAAGGGCGGCGCGGGCGGCCGCGGCGCCGCGTGGAAGTAGTCCGCGGCGGCGCAGGACGCGCCCGGCGCGTCGCCCGCGGCGTCGCGGGCCTCGCACTGGAGCTCGACCGTGAGCTCGTCCCACGTCGACGGGAAGTCGGCGACGTGGACGCCGCCGCGCGCGGCGGCGACGATGAGCTGGTCGACGGAGCTCACGTAGTCGAAGTTCGCGCGCAGGCACGGCCGCTGATCTCGCAGCGACCCGCCCGGGCCGCCGCCGGCGCAGGACGGCGTCGTCCGCGGCAGGGACAGGCCCGTCGCCGACAGCAGATCGCCGAGCGCGTAGGACGCGACGCCGGCGGCGCTCAGCACGCCGCGGAACTGGACGACCGCCGGGTGCTTCGCGTCGGCCGTGGCGACGTAGAAGACGTCGCCCCGCCGCACCAACCCGCGCTCGACCGCGAGCTTGGCCGCGTCCGCGAAGGACACGTCGCGGCCCTTCGCGCGGCACTTGCCCTGCTTGTCGTCCTTCTTGCCCTTGCCGCAGATGTCCTGCTTCGCGAAATAAGTCCCGCCGAAGAGCCCCGCGCAGTCGACGAGCGGGTGCGGGTCGCGGTCGCCCGTGCGCACGTGCGCCGCGTGGAACGCGAAGGGTTTCGCGAGCCCCGGCATGGCGTGCGCGAGCCGGGCGGCGTCGTCGTGGAGCCGCCGCGCGTAGCGCACGGCGCGGAACGCGCGCGACACGGCCGCGGCCTCGGCTTTCGTCTTCGTCCGGAAAATGTAACTGGCGACGCCCCAGTAGAGCGACCAGAGCACGCGCTCCCCGGAGTGC